TCTGGTTTCCAGCCCTCATCCACTTGCATCAGTTCCCTCCCCCACCCCTCTCTCCTTCGTCCTCTCCACCTCCCTCTCCCGTCCCTGCACACCACACTTTCCAGCCTCTTTCCCCTCACCTTTCCCCACTCCCCTTCCCCCCATCTCTCTTCTGCACCCGGAAGTTCTCCAAGGTCTTGATCGCAGCCCCTCCCCCATCATTCCACCTGGACCCTGGTACTGACCTAGGGCAGGCTCGGCACACTCCTTGTGCTGCTCAGGGGTACAGAAAGGGGCATCCCCTGCAAAGAAGAAAGACAGGGAGAGGTACTCAGGCAGCAACCCCTCCCCTCCTTGGGCTGGGGGAAGGGATTGCATCCAGCTACCTCGGTACCTAGGAGGGGCAGCAGTTCACCAGCAGATGGTCAGAAGCCCTGGGGGTAGCGGGCGCGCAGAAGACTGGGTTCTGATCTGCTCTGTGATAACAAGAGCGGTCTAGCTAACTTCTCCCAGATTGCACAATCTGGCTTACATATGTGATGGGAAAGCGTTGACAGTTGAAGTGGGGAAGAGGTGGTAAGCAGCTACTAAGTCCTGCGCATGCATTGTCCCCTTTAACCCACACGGGTACCTTCGGAAATAGGAAATACGGTATCTGTTTCACCCACGAGAGAATTGAGGCTTAAGAATCCTGTTTTCCCAGGACATCAGAGCTAGCGGTGATGGAGGTGGGCTTTGAACCCAGGTCTGTCTGATCCCGAGGCTAGGGCTCTTTCCACCACACCACACTGCTGTAGGGGAGTGAGGGCTGCTTTGTTAGTCTCCTCTTTGCTGTGGCCTTAATTCCACATTATAATTGAGATACCAGTAACAGTGTCATGGTGGGGCAGGGGGCGGGGCGGAAATGATTAAAATCTCTCCTGCTTGCTTTGGGCTCAGGTTCCGCGGGGAAACTTCACTGGCTGGTGATCCAGTCTGAGCATCAGGCAGGTAGCATTTACCAGTGCTCAGTTCTCTCTGGTCTCTGTAGAAATCCAGAAGCTTTTTGTTTTTTTCTTTTACCAAGTGCTAAAGTTAAAGCCCACCACGATATCTTTTCCTTACCTTCTCCCTAAACACCAATCTTTTTCAAGAGCTGAAGAACTGATATGCTTCCTCCTTTCTAATAATAAAAATTTAACTGATATGTTTCCCTTTTTGCTCTGTCTTCTAGGAAGCTCAGAGGCAATTTTAAAGGTCGGTAATTTGAAATTTAGATGGCTAGAGAAATTACTGATCATAATGCACTAATTTAGAATTTAGCTCTAAGGATGTTCATTTCAGCATTGGTTATAACGGAAAACAATTGGTAATGAATGCAATGTCTGATATCAGGATTTAGCTAGATAAACAAATAAAGTATGGTACAACCATGAAATTGTAGCCATGAAATATAACAGCTAAGTTCCCAGCACATAGTAAGTCTTCAGTCAACAGTACTCTCGATTCCCTCTCCCCATGTGTTAACACAATCACCACTGACGTTTGCAATTGACAAAGCTTTCTTTTTGGCCGCACTGCGGAGCTTGCGGGATCTTAGCTCCCTGACCAGGGATCGAACCCGAACCCCCTGCAGTGGAAGGGCGGAGCTCTAACCACTGGACCACCAGGGAATTCCCAACAAAGCATTTTTATATCTTAGCCTAATTTTATCTTCCTAACCACGAATGATTGTGTTTTAAAGATAATGGAGGTAAGAATAGAGAGGTTTAGTAACTTGTACCAGGTCACACAGCAGTAAAGTGGAGGAACCTGAGTTAGAAGCCAAGGCCACTGACTCCAGCCTCAGTCATCCTTCCTTCCATGCTGCAGTATCAAACTCTTCCTGCTCCAATCAGCCCCCCTCCCCCCACTCCACTTCTACTGACAAGCCAACTGCCTCTAATGATGGCTACATGCATTGTTAGTCTGGGAATAGAAATGTCAGTACACACGCATTCATTTGCTGGCCGATGGACTCTTGCCTAGCTTGAAAGAGTGCTAGACATTTGGATGCAAGAAAGGAAACATCTGGAGGAAAGCAGTAACCATCTGGATGTTTGAACGTGTACCACACCAGGATGTAAGAATTGTAAGCATCCAGATATCTGGACACTGAACTCTAGGAGGGAAGAACAGCAAAACAATTAGCAAACATATTGAACGTTGGGAGGAACGTTCTCCAAACACCTGACCACTTCTGGACACCAGGATGCTGCCTTGGTTGCCAGACTGGATGCTTCCATCCGCCCTCTAAGAGTTTGGGCATCAAATAACAGTCTTCCCAGAACAGCATCCCTTTGCATCCTTGTGGAGTGCGTGAAGAGTTTCCCATCAGGGTGAGAAATGCAAAGAAGGTCGCAGGTAGTCCTGGTAGCCCCTGCGGCTGTCCTCGCCTGGCACTGACCTGGCATGTGGACCATGCGACAGTTGCAGTTCTCCACGATGTAGCGGGTCTCACAGTCAATCCGACAGGCAGTGATGCTGTAAACAGGAAAGAAGTCGAGTCCCATCTCTGAGGACCGGCACTCGCCCCACGGCGGGGGCAGGTATGTGAGCTGCAAGACAGGAAGGAGGGGGCAGCAGTCAGCCCCAGAGCTTCAGCCTCGACAGGCACAGTGGCTCATTCATTCACTTATGCAGTTAACAGACCATTATTGAGCATCTACTACATGACAACCTCAATTCCACTGACCTCCCAAGCCTTCCACTTTTGGCTCCAATACCAATTTTCCTATCTTATTTTTTTTATAACCTTCTTATAAATGCTGATCTTCTCAAAGTCTCTCCACATCTTCCCACTTCCACAATTTGTCATCTCCCATCTCTCAGCAGCAGAGAAGTGAGATAAAAATTTGGGGGCTCTGCCTCTGCGGGCCCCTCCTTTCTAGGATTTTTCTTCTCATTTTTTTTTTTTTTTAGCTTTGCTGGCAACCCTGAACTCTAGCTTGAGACTTTTTAACTCAATGACTGCTGCTTTCTTCTTGAGCTCTATCTACAATATTCCTTTAGAACTCGACGTGCCCTCAAAGGAGAGATCAGGTAAATAAATGTGTATTTCATCCAGTGTGACTCTCTTCCTTCAAGGGCTGTATACCCTCCAGTTTCTGCCTGTTTTTAGTCTCTCTCCAATGCCATCAAATAGTACTTTTGAAATATTTTGTCCAGAGTTTATAATTGTTATTTCCAGAGGGGTTAGCCTGATATAAGCTGCTCCACCATTACTGAGAACCAAAAGTCTCTCTCTATATTTTATTTAAGACTCATAATATTCCTTTGAGGGAGCTGTTCCTATTCTCATTTTATTCATGACGAAACTGAGTATCTGAAAGGTCAGTAGTCTGTCCAAGATCACACACAGAGCCAGTGGCAGAGTCAGCATATGGACCTGGGAATTTCTGACTCCAATCTTGCCCTTGTATACTACATTGTCTCTATAGGAAATGGATGAAAGGAGGGAGAAACACTCCAGAGAGGACCTTTCAGAGCTTTTCTCTCTCTCTTTTTTTTTTTTCTAACAGCTCCTTTCTTCTTCCTTTCCCATGAAGGCTTGCATTACTCTCTCGTCTTTCTTTGGAGTTCATGAGCTGACCAGGCTTTTGAACAGATTTCCTGTATGACTTTGGATAAGTCGCCGCTCTCCTCTGGACCTTAGTTTCCCCATCCGTAAAGAGGGAGTATCTGGGGGTAGGTTTGATAGTCTATGATTAGAATGGATTCAGTTCCCTACATTGCTCAATATTGGATCGATAAGCACACAAACTGGATTTGGGAAGAATTCACAGTGACTTTTGGCAAGACAGGGGGTCTAAAATGATGTAAAATCATTTTGGGAGACTCTCATTTCTTTTTCTTCCTCTAAAACAATTTCCCGCAGTGGGTGGACCAAGAATGCAGCTGGTGAAACTCTGGGGATGTGCCACAGTTTGTTCAGGGTCAATCACTTCCCTTTTTTTATACAGAGGTCATGACCCAGATACCACGGCTACCCTGCTGTGGCTGGTTTATCATTTGTTCCATCAGGTTTTCTGAAGCCTCACACACCACAGCAGCTGGAAAATCGCAGTGTGTACAGCATCAACTCTTGCTTACCAACGAGTGTCTGAAAGCGGGTTGGAGTATTTGTTTATCCTGGGTAAGCGAAGCCTCAGGGGGACCCTGAAGCACTGTCTTCAAATATCTGAAGGGCTGTCTCAGGAAAGAAGAATTAGATTTGTTTCCTGGCATCCCAAGGGAAAGACAGACAAAAGAACAGTTGGGAGCACAGGCTCCGGACGCGCAGGCTCAGCGGCCATGGCTCACGGGCCCAGCCGCTCCGCGGCACGTGGGATCCTCCCGGACCGGGGCACGAACCCGCGTCCCCTGCATCGGCAGGCGGACTCTCAACCACTGCGCCACCAGGGAAGCCCCCGCATTCTCTTATTTAATCCTAAAGAAGGATAAATTCTGTCTCAACTTTCTAACCTGCTACTATGATTCAATGACAAAATCCCTATCTTGAGGGTGAGGGTGAGGTCCCCATCATGAGGGGTGTTCAAGCAGAAACCATACAACTACCTGGCTGGGATGGGAAGAGAGAGATTCAAGTACTGCATGTGCAGTTGGAGATTCTAAAATCTCTTAAGCCCTTATAGCCAATCCTAGACCCTACATCTGCAATTTTAATTTGAGAGCTAGAGACAGTGGAACAAGTCTGACAGAACCTTGAACCTCACTCTTTCATGGGCTAGTTGTGTGACTTAGTAAGTGACAAAGCCCCCATTCCCCAGCCCCCGCTTTTAGCCTCCTCATTGGATTAAATAAGTGCCCAGCAGCTAGTAGGTAGCCGCCAAGACTTAGTTCCTATCTCTTTCCCCTAACAAACGTCTTGATGTTTTTCTACCCTTTCATTCATTCAACAAATAGTCCAGCTCCACCTCTGCTCTCCTTACAATCTGGTTTTACAGACTAGCGAAACTCCATCCTTTTTGGCTCAAGTTATTTTGAACTGGGTTTACTATAAGAACTCCTGCCAATGCAGATGTCCAAGAGGACACCAGGCCGCTGATCTAGGGCTCTGGAGCTGGGAGAGAGATCTGGGCTGGAGATGTAAATGTGTGTGTGTGTGTGTGTGTGTGTGTGTGTGTGTGTGTGTGTGTGTGTGGCTTTAGTGGATCTTGAAGCTGTGGGGTGGATGAGCCAGACCAGAGAGAGAGGAGAGACACCAGGAGTGAGGCTTAAAGTGTTCTTGCATTTACTTAACAACTCATCCGTCCGTAGCCTTTTTTTTCTCACTGTGCCATGGAACTGGTGGCCTTGTACAATTGCTTACATTTATGAGCTGAGCAAAGAACTCAGAACTTTCGTGATGACATACCCTGGTGCTTGCCTGTCATCGCTCCACTGTCTCGAGGCTTCTCTCCACAGTACTTCTCGTTTTCTAGAGAGAAGTTTGTCTTTGCACCCTCCCTGCCTCGGGACGCCCTATGCTGTTCCTCAGCCACTGGCTTTCCCAGCCTCTCCCAGCCCATAGATCCCGAGGTATGCCAGCAGGTGGCGCTGCAGTTAGCCTAGCTGCTCAAGGCGGGTCTCTGTAGTCAGAGATGCTGGGAGGGAGACTGTCTCATAGGACCTTGCCAAGCTCCCTTGGCCTTTCCCTTGTGTCTGCAGCCCACAGAAGCCTTGGCTGGGATGCTCCTAAGGGAGAGATGCTGTGACCGCATAGGAATATGTTCATTCTGCTCCTGGAAAGGGTAGAAAAGACCGGAGGAGAGACAAAGGAGGAGGGAGACAAGGAGAGAGGCCCACTGAGCTCCCCTGGTACCCATCTGGCTCTTTTGTCATGTCAGCCACTTGGGCTTTTGATTCAGGGGCTGGACACGATACTCACCTGGACCAGATCCCTTTAGGCTCTGGGATTCCCCTGCAGGGCTGGGTCGGGGTCTTCGTTCTGGCCTGCTTGGCTTCCTTCTCCACCTCACTAGCCCACCTGGCCGAGGTTCTCTGTCTGCCGGGAGCAGCCGTGTTAGGAGCACGTGCTCTGTGGTCAGACCCAGCTGGGTTGGAATCCTGGCTCTGCCACTTGCTTAGTGGGGGACCTCGTCTTTCTGCATGGGGAGCACCCTGAGATATTAATTACTTCAGAGGGATACTGTGAGTTTTGAACATAAGGTACGTGTAACGCAGCTGTGGCCCTTGGCTGACGACTTCCGGTCTCTGTGTCGTACGGATAGGATGTGAAACTCAGCCCCTTGTTCATTTCCACAGAAAGCCCACTCACCCAGGGCATTAGAATATAAGGAAGATGTCAGAGTTGGAGGAGGGTTTACATCAGAGCAAAGCTCCTTCACCTTGCCTAAGCCCAGCCCCTCTCCAACTTTCTCCTTTCCTTCCCTCTCTCCCGCCTCCTTTCTCTCTCCTTATGTGCTTTCCACCCTTTCCAGGAGCAGAATCCGCTTATTCTTAGTAGTTGCATCATCCTCTGTCATCTTGGTAACATGGCAACCACCTTTCCCGTGGAGTCTCAAGGAAAGACACTTCCTTCCCTAGGAGGAATTCTAAAGCCAAATGTTATCATGTTTTTTTTTTTCTTTTTTTTCCTGCCTCGTTCTGTAACAAGACGAAACATCTCCAAGAGTGGCTGGTGAATAATAGATGTTGAATGAACCAGAGACGTTGTTGGCCTCTTTTCTCCCCACCAGGGCGCTGTCTCACCGTGTACAGTGACCAGGCAACAGAGCTGGTCGTGCTTTGCATCCATAACACAGATACTCACTCTGATGACTGGAAACACAGAAGCACGCCCCGATGACCCGTGGTGCACACTCACTTTCTGTTACTCCCGGAGTCTTCTCTCTGGGATATCTATCTGTGCGTGATTGACCGTGATTGTGCCAGAAATGAAACAGAGTGGGTAGCATTGTGAGAGGAGCATTGCTGGGTCTTCCAGGGAGAAGTGCTGAGTGTGAACACCCAGTGAGGTTCCAGTGACTTATGTGGTTCCTTGGGCAGGAATTGTAACCTCTGAGCCTTGCTTAGCTGCTCCATAAAGCAAGGGGTCTGGACCAGAGAGCTGTTAAATGCCTCCAGAATCTTCAAAGTTTTGAGTCGATGTGTCTCACTTAATACAAACCGGGATAAAGGGTGGGCAGAGGAGTGGGCTGCTCTCCGATGATCGATCCAGGTCTGAATATTTGGCTCACAGCGTGTTTTCTTCCCTCCGGGTGTTTGGTGAAACTGATCAAGATGAGGCCAGAGTGGCCCTGGATCCGAGTCATTGGGAAGCCTTCACTCTGGGAAAAACTGCCTTGAGAGTGAAGGAAAAAAATCCCCTTTGTGAGCTGTTTTCCAGAGAACATAGTCAGCAGGGTGTTCAGCTCACTCGGTGAGGCTCCCATGGATGAAGAGGTGGTCAACCAGAGCAGCTGGCCTCAGGGTGCAGGAAACAGGAGTCGGGGTACAGTCTGGGCTGTTACCAAAGGCTCAGTGGGGCTTTTGTTAGCCCAGCCAGCCCGGTGGTCCAGCCTAATTGAACAAGCTCTTCGTTAACTCCTGGGATGTGCCAGGCACCGGGCTGGGC